TTGGACATCCTGATCATGTATGACTATGGGAGGGAGTCTTTTCATTAGGTATTGAACATTTTACGTGTTCTTACTGATTGATCTCGTATCAGTGGGAATACTTTTTTCTATTTTTAAAAGTTCTTATCCCTCTGGTAACGTGGTGGTTTTAGAGTTGTAAACAATATCCTCTAAAGACAAAAAAGTAAGGTGGGGTAGTGGGTTAGGCCGGTCAGCCTCAACTCTAATATCCTCGCACACAGTGTCGATTTCCGAATTGATCTTCTCATTCCCCTGCAATTTGAAAACAAGGCTATCGAAGTCTATCTCCATCATCGTTGGGAGTAATTGGTGCTGTTTCACAAGCTTCAGGCCCCAGAGGAAAGCCTTCGCCTTTGCCATTTCCGGGCTCCAACTAGCTCTTGTGCAACTCACTGCCGCCATTACAAAGCCTCCTTCTTCATTCCGAACCTCCAAACCAATCCTCGTTCCCCCATCCTTCAATATACAAGCATCCACATTCGCCTTCAGTCCTCCCTCCGGTCTTTCCCATTTGTAGCGCTGATTCGATCGTACCGGCGTAAAATTCGGCTCCTGAGCTCTTTGATACTCCTCCATGTAATTTTGTGCTCTCTCCACTACTTCCCACTCTTCAAATTTCTGATTGTGGAAATGATGGTTATTTCGTTCTTTCCAAAGGAACTATATTGTAATTAGGAATTCACATATCTCCTCATCCTTTGCATTTTTCAGCACTTTCACACAACCAATTTGCACAGTTGCGATCCTCACCCATTTCGAACATCTTCCTTCGGAAGCTAGGTCTGTAAATCCGCCCTGCCCTATCACATTCTTTGGTTATATGCTCTTGCGTTTCAACAAGCCCACAGAAAGGACAATCCTCATCCTCCTCTGGTATCTGCTTAGCTAGGTTTCCTCTCATAGGTAGTATGTTGGAACCCCATCTCCACACAAAGACTCTCACTTTCGGTGGGATCTTCAAGTGCCGCAATCTTTTCCAGTCAATTGGCTCATAATGCTCCGGTTGATCACTCAATTGCTTCAATCTCCATTCATGATATCCCATCTTCACTGAGTAGTAGCATGTTCTTCCCTTTCCCCAGCACCATCTGTCTGGTCTTGGTCAAAACGGGATGGGGATTGACTTAATCCATTTTCGATCAGTAGGTTGGAAGTGTTGTTGTAGTAAATTACTTCGTCATGATCAATTCGACTGATCAATCAAATCCACCACCCGTGCATTCATCCCTATACATGTTACTATGGATTGCACTTGAAATTCTATGCTTCTGGTATCTACCTATCCCACCAGATAATAATGCTTTTCCCATCACCTACTCTCCATCTTGTTCCATCCTTTACCAGCCCCTTCGCGGCCATGGTGCTCCTCCATATATAGCTGGGGTTATTTCCCACCTCGGCTTCCAAAATGTTTGTGTGGGGGTAGTATTTTGCTTTCAGAGCTCTTGCTACCAGGCTGGATGGATTTTGCAGGAGGTTCCAGACTTGTCGACCCAATAAAGCTAAATTGAACCCATGTAGATCGAGGAATCCCATTCCCCCTTCTTTTTTTGGCTTGCACAACTTGGCCCATTTCGTCCAGTGTATTCTTCTTTCCCCATTCTTACTGCCCCACTAGAATCCAGAAATTATGCTATGCATCTCATTGATCACCCCTTGCAGTATGAGAAACACTGACATAGCATACATTGCTTGAGCTTGAGCACTCGCTTTGATCAGAACCTCTTTAGCGGCATTTGAGAGTAGTTTCATTTTCCACAATTTCACTGTCTTGCGCATCTTATCAATGAGCTGTGTAAAAACTTCCTTTTTGGACCTCCCAATGACTGTTGGTAGCCCCAAATATTTTTCGTAATGCATAACGTGTTTCATTCCTAGTAGTTGTGCCATTTCTTTCCGTTGTGCTCCATCCATAACTCGGATTTCACCAAACTGACTTGTTGTCCCAATTCAGCTGTATAAGTATCCAAGATCCCTTTCAAAGTCTCCCATTCCTGTATTTTATTCTCAAAGAAAAATATGTTGTCATCAGCAAACAACAAATGTGTAATCATAGGGGCTTCTTTGCAAATCTTAATGCCATGTAGTTCGCCTTCCTGTACTGCCTTCTCGGTCAATGATGATAAGCCTTAAGCGCACAAAAGAAACAAGTATGGTGATAGTGGATCACATTGCCTGATTCCCCTTGTTGGTTGAATAACCTCAGTCTGATATCCATTCAATAGGGCTCCATTGTATCATAATGTCAATCCATCCTTGTGCAAACCCCATTTTCTGCATAACCTTTGCCAAGAAAGCCCATCCCACACGATCATATGCTTTCTCTATATCTAACTTCGCTGCTACAAAAGCTTTCTTTCATTCTGTACGAATTTTCATAGCATGAAAGCATTCAAATGCTACCATGATAGTATCCGTAATGAGTCTCCTAGGCACGAATGCGCTTTTAGTATTGTGAATCACTACATTCAGAACTTTCGTAAGTCTGTTGGCCAGCAGTTTAGAAAAGATCTTGTAGATGACTCGACAGAGACTAATAGGGCATAACTCCTTTGGGCTTGTTGGTTGTTTTACCTTTGGGATTAACGCTATTAGTGTCTGATTTATCTCATGTGGTATAACTTTTTCCAGGAAACATTTCTACAGTTTTGCAACAACCAAAGGCCCCACTGTTGCCCAATTTTTCTGGAAGAAAAGAGTTGGGAGACCATCGACTCTTGGAGCTTTCGGGGGAGCCATTAGATTTAGAGAAACCCACTCTTCTCTAGGATTCTATCAGTCTTTTTTTCCTCCTCCTTATGTCCCCGAATTTCATTTGACTCCATTCTATAAGCTTCTTTTCACCGCCTTTGATTCGAGCTTCGAGTCCCAAGCTGGGGTCTTTATTCCATTCATGGGTAATTAATGGCGAGCAGTCTTCATGTTTTTGCCAGAAAGACTCAAACCTGAAGTGCCAACCCCATTTAATCCGATCAGCCTCTAGTTTTAGTTGTAATTTGATCGGTAGATGATCTGATACCCATCTAGTCAGATGGTAAACTTGAGCCTCTTGAAATCTACTTCTCCAATCATAATTGGCTATCATGCGGTCTAGTCTTTCTTCCAAAAAGTCTTCATTTTCTCGACCATTGTCCCATGTAAACATGTTACCATTGTATCCCAAATCCTCCATTCCACTATCATCCAATGCCTCTCTGAATCCTTCCATACATTGCTCATCAGGTAGTCTGATCCCATTCTTTTCTTCGTAGCCCAATACTTGGTTAAAATCACCCATCATGAGCCATGGCAGATCACTATATCCCTTTAGTCTTCTGATCAACTCCCAGGTCTTCTTTTTATTTCCCTGTTATGGCCATCCATATATTCTAGATAAGCACCATGCCTTTTTTGGGTTATGTTTGTCAATTGCTACGTCAATATAGTTATCCTCAAAATCCTTGATTGATACATGAACATGTTCTTTCCACATTAACAGTAGGCCCCCTGCTCGATTTCTCGATCCAACCCCTTTGCCCTTCTCCCATCCCATTTCTGCCATTACCTCTTCCCATTCATGCTCTTGTTTCTTTGTCTCCATTAAGAAGACAATGTCGAGGTCTTGTTCTCTGAGTAGCTCAGCTACCCTTTTCACTGTCGTGGTTTTCCCCAACCCACGACAGTTGTAACTTATGATACTCATTGGGCGGGGCGTCCTTGTGGATTCACAAGGTCCGCCTCTCCGCCATCCAAAGAAATTTTTTGCGTTATCAGCTCGTTACTATTGAGATTTTTGTCTATTGCTAAATTTTTGTTAATTATCCTTAATCACCACAAGATTATTTTGAGGTAAGGAATATCAAGCAGCATCTACTCCTTTGATTGCTTTAATTTCGTATTTACATTCCTCTTTCCTTGTCTCCATCACGATTAACATTAATTTAAATTCCCCGCAAGGTACCGTTATGGGGAAAATTCTTAGCTCCAATCTTGGTTGGATGCAGAAGCTCCAACCGTCCGACGTGTCAGTTTGTTATTGGTGGATTCACCTTACTTTTTTCTTAATATTTAATTATCCTAAGTAAATCGAGAATTAAAATATTAAAAAATGGTGAAATCGCCAATAACAAACTGACACGTGGTTGGTTGGAGCTAAGAATTTTCCCCGTTATGGTAAGTCTAGCAACTGTCACACCATCTATGTTAGTTGCACACCTTCTATCAGTTTAAATTTCCTACCTATGTACTTTAACTTTTTGTTAACTAATGGTGATTTCAATTCTTCCCTTCATCACCTAGGGGTAAAGTTCAGGAGTTATTCACTTGCTAGATGAGTATCATGCATTGATTGCGAGTGTTTTGTACTTACAAGAGGTGGATAATACCGTTAGTGGGGTATTTTTTTATAAGATCAACTTTGCCTCAAATGCAATATTTAATCTCTTGTGATAGAGATTTCTAGCATCATAGTCGTGCTTTTTTGGTTGATCATTTTGCAGGTGCTTAGATGGTATGAAAGTAATTGAAAGAAGTTTATCGACCTATCAGGTGATAGTTTGATTTTATTCGCTTTTACAAATTTATGAAAGCAATTAAGCATGCTCTGTTGAAGCTTGCTAATGTCTTTTTCTTTTCTTTGTCGTGGCTTTTTGTGGCAACTCGATACTGGTCATCTGGCTTACTCCGTCGAAAGAAACTACAATCGCTGGCGTGACTATCTTAGAGATGTTGGTTTTCTTTTTGCTTTCCCAGCGTAAGTGTAGTGTCTTTGCTCCTCGGAGCTTCTTCAAAGCTGCCCAAGTAAGTTCTTAACAAGCTCTTTCGTCGGTATTCTAGTTGCTTACGGACTAACGCGTCGAGTTTGTGTCGGTTTTTGAAATAAACAGTTTCTTATTACTTATTAATTTCAAGGATTTAAAAATAGTTTTTTTCTAGTCGATGAATTCGTTCCTTTCATGCATCTTTCTCTTTTTGGTAAATTATTACTTTCATCAATCTAATCATCTCAATTTCTTTCTTTTTATAACGAATTCAATCATTTTTAGCTTCTCTTCCCTTCCCTTCTCCATAGGATAAAACAAAATACACGACCAACACTAAATTACTAAAACAGCATTTATTTCTCCATATCCCAAATAATAATGGCGCGCACGTCGCTGAACACACCCGCAAAAAATTTCAAAGTCTCCCTTTGCAATCCCTCTTCACGAACTTCTTCACGTGAAGGAACAATATAAACATTCCGATTTGACAACCACTTCAATTTCTGTTCATTCCACTTTAATTATACCAACAACCCAGTATCAAACGGAACGCCGGTCGCCGGCAACCAGATGTCCCCCTGAGTAAAGTTCATCACCGTGAAATTCCCGGCGTCGGTCTCGTTAATCAGATGAAAACCCGGCCAATTCACCCTCCCGCCGGTCAGCGCCCCGATGCCTGTGTTATTGAACTCCGCATAATAAAGCGTGTCCAGCGAAGTGTTACCGGACCACGGCGCCCAACCCGCCGGATCTAAGAAACTGGCGATCGACGACTGCATCACCACCGTCCTCGAATACGCCTTCCACGGCCGACCCAGGTAAGATCTCGTCGTACCATTGCTTAAAGCCAAATCTTTCGCTTCCTTGATTGTGCAATTCTGGATCGAGATCCCAGTGTTCTGATTCGGGTCGGTTCGGCCCTGTGCAGTTATGGCGTTGAATTGGTTGGGCAGAGGGAGCCGAGACATGAGCCGGCAGTTCTGGAAAACAACGGCGGCGTTGCCGAATATGTAGTCGATGGTGCCGTAGATAGTACAGTCGCGGTAGAATTGGCGTAAGGAGTGGACGTAGAGTGTGTCCTGGTAGCCCTCGAAGCTGCAGTTGAAGAATGCTGACATGTCGGCGCCGTTCCGAACCGCGACGGCTTGCATCTTTGATGGCCCCGCCGTGTTCCGGAACGTCATTCCCACGGCGACGAATCCTGGGGCGACGACGGCTGCGAGAGAAAAAGAAGATTGTAAGTTTTGGGTGCATATCAACTGTTCGACGAAATGCCTCAACGAGATGTGAAAAGAAAGTTCCCTTCAGCCAAATGTTCTATTAAATGTCTTGAAGAGATAGAGCTACTCTAAGTTAACTTTTAATGGGGCTAACGTACCTAACGTGGAGGAATTGAAAGTGGTGGAGCCATCAACGACGCTCCTGTTCCCGGTAATGGTCGTCCGGCCGATTCCATCTCCGACCATCATCAAGTTCTGCTTGTTCTTCGGGATAGAAATGTACTCTTCATAGAGACCCTCTATCACATATATAACAAAGTAGCTGTTTCCAGGTACGACGCCATTAGTTGAATTAGGAGCTGCAGCAATGGCATCATTGATGCTTGTAAAGTTCCCACCTCCCTCCTTATCCACAACCACCATCTGGCTCACTGAAATGCCACCAATGGGAGCTTGGAGAAGCTTCCTCCCACCACCACCGAAGGACTCAAATACGTGACGATCCTTGCTCGACATTATCAACGGCAACCCATGGGCGCTGGACGGTAGATGCAGTGGAGAATTCAGAAGAGATTTACTGAACGAATTTTCAAACTAGCAGCGCAGCGAAAATGGTTGGAAGGTAGGAAGCATTCGGTCAGATGAACTAGGTAAAAAGTCTAAGCACTTTCAAATAGCTTCTGAAATTAAGCTTATGGCGAAACTTATTTTTTTCTTTCAATTGATGCGAACAGTGAATAGCTTACGTTTTAGCGCTTTAAGTTGTAAATTTATATACACATTGGAAGTGCTTTGAGGTGAATTGAACTGCCATCGAGTCAAAATGGTGTTTTAACTCTTTAATGCAAGTTTAAGTTTTTTAGTTAATTTCAAGTGACGTGAAGCTGTGCTTAGGTGGGACTTTCACTGGGAACTGTCATTGGTTGGGATCCAAGTTTGGGATTAAGGGGATATGGTCGGGGATGGTGGCTACTTATGTATTTGGTTTAAAGTGCAAAGCTTTCGGTGGATAAAATTGCTCTAATGAAATTAAAAAGCCCAGCGCTTTGGTTATGAGTATTTGATTTTTATCAACTCAATCCTTAGGAGTAATTGGGTTTCCCTTCAATGTAAACCTGCTCATTTTTTAAAGTCAGGAACTGCCGCTGCTATGCCTCTAGGAGTGTCAAATGACACTGCAGCTGAGATTACTTGACAATTCACAGTTCTTTGATTGCAGGCTCTTACTAGCTTGCAGTGGTTGAAATTTGTTGTCAGCGGCTGCTGCCAAAAAAACGAACTATGTGTCTGGTCATGGCTCCTCTAGCTGGGGAAAGAAGGATGCTTGGAGTTTTGGGTTTGCTGCTGCTGCTGCTACTTGGAATGCTACAACTGGTAGTGGAGACTCGCCAAGATCGCTCTATGAGCACTTGCAAACCTTCCTTAGCCACCCTTTGTTCCTCAAAGTTATGCTTATCTCTTGCAGGTTACAGAAAAATCTGCTCTATTTGTATGCTTGGATCATGTTCCTTTGAAGCAGGGCAAAACTGACTCTAATACCATTTTCCCCAGAATGTTTCAGCCCAAGGGAGATCTCCATGATGCTGAGGAATACTACCACAGGGCAACACAAGTGGAGCCTGGAGATGGTGAGTTACTGATCCAGTATGCAAAGTTTGTGTCGCACCTCTATCGTGTGAACCTACGGCTGATATTTCTCAACGACTCATGCATATTGCAGCAATGTTATCGGCGCATATGCTAGCTCTATCTGGAAATAGATAAGGGAAAGGGAGATGAAGAGAATTGGACGGCAAATAGTAATAAATCAATGTTTCTGTTGTGTTTGTTGGCATTGTTTCTTTGGTGGTTGATGCCAGTTCATCCAAGTTAGGTGTGTTGGTGTCTTAATTTTTTAAATTGTGGCAACTGTTCTCTTCTCAGCGATTTAAATTCATGGAGTGACTATAGAGAAACTGTTGTTTTCGAGGAATATTAATTAGTACTTGGATTCTCTGGTGGTTCAGTGGAGTTTGTGATACTGCATTGTTGCTTCAACTCTTCGTTTGCCTTTTTCCAAGCCTCTTGCGTTGCTTCTTCGTAGAGGTTGTTTGGAACAATTGATCAAAGATAAAAACAAATTTCCCTTTTTCTTAGTTTCCTCATTCCTCATAGGCGTGGTTCCGGTTTGAGCTATATGTTTGTGGAATAGAATTCCTCCTTTGGTTTTTTAGGTTTTTGCAAATAGTGTCTGCTTACAAAATATCATATTGTTGGAAATTTTATGGAGTTTCAACACATTGCTTGGTTCTAAGAGATAAGTTAGGTCCTTTGACTAATTTGTCGTTCATATCTGTTTAAATCATTATTTAAATTCATAACCTCTTTGTCACTTTATTTGCAGATATTGGTGATCTATTTCATTAATTCACATAACAAATCCCCTTGGGTCAAGTTGATTGAATTCTCTTCTTTCATGATGTTACACGGTCTCTATTTTATTTTAAGTTCCTTCTCTCTTTGCGCACCTATCATCGATCTTCGAACATGTCTATTTCAATTTCTCACATCTCAACTGCCATCTTACTTAACCAATGAGATTGGTTTATGAGAACACATATAGTGTATGATAGACTAGGTACAAATTGATTCTAAAGGATGATTTTGCTGCAAGTTTAGTCCCGGCGGTGTAACCGTGGGTATTGATTCTAGTATGAAGAAAGAAAAACTACATAATGATCTCTTCACATGGATAGGAAACATCCACTATAAACTAGCCAAGGGGATTATAGGGTTTTGTGGTGGCACTTCACTTAGTATTTTAAGCTAAGTAACTAATGGATAGCATGGCTCATTACTTGGAAATTCAAAACGTAATTCTATCCCGGGTTAATACCGTCATTAAATTATGATCAATATTACAAAATTGTCGTCGAATTTCAAAATTATCAAAATGATTAGATATATTTCTCTATCCATAACAAAATGGCGGCTTGCCCTAACTCCACAAAATATTCATTAATAAGTAACCTTAGCCATGTGAGCAATGTATATACCATGTCAACAAATATACTTACTTGACACCCATGCCATCCCATAACTTACTAAACTATTCTCAACTGGTTAAATTCAAAAACCAACTTTAATTTTAAACCCGCACACCGTTGATCCAACTCATTGCATCGTCTCAAGAAGCAAAGAAGTTGATAGATTGGTTCTCAAGAAAACTTTAGTAAACCTCTCTATTTTCCCATCCTTCAAAACTCGTAGAGTAATATACTTCCTGCCGAATGTCTGACTCTTTTCTTCTTCCTCTCCGGAAGAAGATGATTAAAGTTTTTTGAGTTAGTAAAATATTATATGGTTGACAAGAAGAAGATAAAGGAGAATAAGAGCATTGATATTCTCTTAAGTACTTACTCACCCGAAGAACATGGTTTTCTATTTGAGGGAGGGTAGACTATGTTATGTATGTGTTCATGGATGAGGACGGGGGAGCAGATTGTGCACCTTCGATTATTGTTACAGAGGCAATGGCTAGTGAACATAGTGAGGTTCGTAGGGTGCAAGACCGAGAAAGCTCCATGATGAAGAATTCGAGACTAAATAGGAGGAAGAGGAGGATGGATAGGAGATTCCTTTTGAGAACGATGAAGATGAAGTGGTGACTGGACGGACCTACATGGATGATGAAGAATGAAAATTTTCCTATGTGCTTATTGTTTAGTGTTTTGACATTTTTATGAACTTGTGCTTCTAGGAAATAGTCACTACTTGCTTGTTATTTGTTATGTTAAGTGTTAATTGTTAAGAACTGGGCGTTTCTAATTTTATATGAACTTTTGATAATATGAAGTATTCTAGAAGGCAGGAAACATTTAAGAATTTTTTGCATTTATGCTCTGAAGGCCTTCACATGCCTAGACTACGACGCAAGTCAGGAGTCAAGCGCTCACCTTACGCATAGCGCTTTTTTGAACCTTGGTTATAAGCACTAATAGTATATATAGTTAAAGTAGATTGGCTTGGATTTATTCAACTTCAAATCTTCTTAGGCCATACCCCTATTCGGTAAGGTCTCAACATGCAATAAGAGTAATTGAACTAACTTGTGCAATCATGAGTAGCATACTCAGTAAATAACTCGAATATTCTCTTGTATTGGTGTTCTATTCAATGTCCTAGGCACGAGGTCTCGTCATACCTAGGACAATCATTGATTAAATTTGCACAATGCATACACAATTTCTTATCTATTATGCATTGAGCATTGATACTAATCACATATATGTGTGATGTTTATTCTGCCTGTCAAACCTGAGTGCTCAATTAGTACGATATTGTCCGATTTGGGCTAAGCTCGCACGGTTTTACTCTTGGGTATTCACCCCAAAAAGCCTCGTACTAATGAGCTTGGTGGACATTAATATACTAGGGTTTCTTCCCTTGTATTTCCGATGTGGTACTTGGATTGTCCCATAACAATCCTCCCCTCAAGCCAAGGACCACAAACTTCGTGTCCTCACCTCAGCGATTATCTTGATCCGCCAGACACCTTGTATCGATGGGCTTCTCGGTACAAGGATTTTCGAGACGCAGAACTCTCTTTGATCTGCTTCTCAAAATTGGAACTCTCTTTGATCCGCCAAGCCCAAACGTGGATCTCTCCTGGATCCACCAAACAGACGTGAATCACCTTTGACCCACCAGACAAACGTAGATCTCAAATCCCGAGGTCACTGAATGAGGGTCCACCACACTGACGTCCACTGCCCTGAACCGAACTAGGCTCTGATACCACTTGTCATAACCGGGGAGCTCAATTAGTACGATATTGTCCGCTTTGGGCCAAGGCCGCACGGATTTAATTTTGGGTGTCCTCCCCAAAAGGCCTCGTACTAATGAGTATGGTGGACATTAATATACAAGGGTTCATTCCCTTATATTTCCGATGTGGTACTTGGATTGTCCCATAACACTACCATGCATGCGATTGATGTAAGTAACCAAGAGCGATAAATCACTACCATGACCTTAATAATGATATTTATTAGTGAAACTAAAGCATGGATATACATAGGTCCCCCCCCCCAATAACAAAGGGATGTTTAACTCGACATAGAGAGGAGTATGCCAACATATTGAGGACTATTATCTCTCGAGAAAATAAACTACTAAAATTTAGGATCGGGATTTGATTCGAATCGTAGTACTTCAAAAGTCGAAATATTTTTTTATCTACTCAATTTTGGATGTCTTTACAATAGAACCCAAAACTCTTATTTATCAGAGTGCACAGTCTTGAATATCTAGTTGTGACTGATGTGGTAGAAGGGGTTTTCCTCTTCCAACTCAAACTAGGACTCTATTACTTGAAGTGCACGACAATGGGACCTTTCATAACTTATAACATATATCCAGCTACCCTAACTTCCAGAAATCGAAAAAATTGACATTCACATGAAAACTTGCCAGAGACGTCGAAAGTTGTTGTATTTTTTGACATCCATCTGATTAGTTGCCACCAACCACGTACTTTTTTATATGTTGTGGCAGAACACTAGGCCGAAAAATCCAGGTTGTCGAAAAGCGGTTAGACTGCAAAATTTTGGTAGGTAGAACCTTGTTGAACTGAACAAATTGAGGCGGCCCGATCTAGCCCAGCTAAAAGAATCCCACGGCAACCACCTAAAAGGGCTGCTCGAAAACTCCCGGCCGACCAGGTATTGGTCATTGTAATTTTTCGGCCCATAATGGTATTCGATCTTTTCGCGATATCTCGAGCTACCAATGTGGGTAATGGTCGAAACCTTCATCGAACCCTTGAAATGTGGAACTGAATATGCTAATATCGACCATCTCTCTATGGGAGGACACGGGCAAAAAAAGATGAATTGTGTCAAACGTTCAATCGATGTTTATGGGGAATCCGGGGGTCGAAATAGGGAGTTTCTTAGCCAAGCATGAGTATTTTGACGAAGAAAACTATCATTGTTAGTCGAAGTTGAGACGATTCGACCTCTTGGATGACATCATAGTAGGATTGGATGGATCGAGGTTAAATATTGGTGGTTTGGGGGGAAAATAGGATTTAGAATTCGAGATAGGTAGAAGGTGTAGGAGGCAGAAGATATGCTTGTTGATCTTGTTGATGTCGCGTTATTCGTTATGGTCGTGTCAAATCTGTTCTTCTTCTTGTTGTGTGTGTCCTATTGCGCTACGTCGTTCGCAATTGGTCAACCCCTGACTCTAGTTAAATCATACCATAATTTGGCCACACCCTATTGTTTTCCGTTTAAGGGTAGACATTTTGGAAAGTAACTCCACATTCAGTCACAACCTAATTTTTCCCAAACCATAATTTCGCTCGAACCCTGACCATGTGTCGGTCCCCGAACGACCCAAATTTTAGCGACGATTTTTTGCATCAGTCGAGCAAACGTCAGACTATGGTCAATTGCATCTCAACAAGTGGCCAATCAATAGAACACAGTGCCATGCATGGAGCTATGACTGGTAGGTTCATTGTGACAATAGTTTGGCTACGGTTTCTAAGCCATGGCTAAAAATTTCTAGCCAATAGTCTTGCACTGGCATGTTCTTTGCGAAAGTTATTTGCCAAAAGTTTCCCCGCTAACGCTAAAAAAAGCCAGCTAATTGTCTGGTGCTCTAGTCGGTTCTTATAGTTTTTTGGGACGGTTTCACAACTGGCGCTAAAATTCTCCGCAATTGCCTGGCATGGTTTGAAAGTTTTCGGCGACCGAAACCTTTGACCTATGCCAGGTATTGCCGAAAAATCGTAATCTTTGTCGAAAAAATTGCAAAATTTGGTGGAACATCGTCAAAACACTTGAAAAAGAGAATCGCATCTGGTCCAAGGTTCAGTCAAGGTTGGAGGCGAGGTTTTCCTAGCCGGTGATTGTTGATGTTTGGTATCGCATGAGGTGAGAATGCTAGTCAGCGGTGACGCTTGGTCTGACTGGCGATGATGTTTGTTGATGTAGGATTTTGAAAACTTTAGGGGTCGTTTGG